AAAGAAATAAGGTACTCGTAAATACTAAATACGGATAAGGTTTAAACTTTAAACATAATGAAAAAATAGCCACACTATATTTTTATTTCTAAAATTTCAGCAAGGTTGATTTAAACAAAAAATAAATCTTCACTTTTGTAAAAAAAAATATTTCCTCCATATTTAAAAGTTCCTTACACTTTCCTTTTCAGGATGTATTTAAAAGTTTTCTACACTTCCATTGTTGGTAAATTTACCATATATAAAATACTCAACTGCCCTTACTTTATCTACTTTTTATCTTCTCTTTCATACTTTTACACACTATCTCCTACTTTTCTACACTATTCACTATTCTTACTATCTTATCCTAAAATATTGTGATAAAAGCAAACGTAGGGAACATATAAATATGGAGGGAGTAATCTTGTAATTTTACTACACGTTGGTCCGGTAACTTATACCACGTAAATCTTTACAGTTTAAGAATCCCCTAAATATATACCTTCCGGGAAAAATATAACGAAAGGATGCTGCCGGCTTTCAATTTTTAGTCGAAATGTGTACTTTACTATGGAACAGCTCATAAATTACAAATATTTATTAGTTGAGAAAAGTCATTTGACAAATAACAATCAATCAATCATAGTCTAAACTTACAGAATTAAAATTAAAAATCTTCATAAAAAATGTAATAGTCATATTTTTAAATTATACTATCTCCATCAACTAATGTTGAGATATGAGAATATGTCGCAAAGGCTCCCACCTACGCTGGTGTGGGGGGTCGGATGTACGCAGTCTTATCCCTATACTAAAGTACAAAAAGATTGTTTCCAGATGACCCATATGAAAATCGCGTCGGAAATTGCATGAGCTGACTACTGCTTCATTACAAAGAAGCGCAAAGAGTTTAATAGGCCATTTTGCTTTATTCCATCATATTCTAAAGCAAAAAATAGTGAATCTTTGGCTTCATTGCAAATGTTATGTGATTGATATTGAATTAACAAAAGGAAAAATTGATTGTAATAATCCCAACTATTGGCGGTCCGCTCATAATAATCCCAACTATTGATTATTCCAGAATAATCCCAACTTTAGGGAACTTCCGCCAATAATGGTCCATATGAATAAATTCTTGTAATTTCTAAAGTGAATGAGATGAGATATAACAAATAATCCCTATAAATAATCTCAACTTTTAATTTTTACGCTTAATTTCTATTTAAAATTCACTTTTTATAGAGGTAATATCTGGTCATGGACCATTATTGGCGGATAGTCTATATAGTTGGGATTATACAAAAATAATCAATAGTTGGGATTATTTTCAGCGGACTGGCAATAGTTGGGATTATTATTTTCAATTTTTCCTTAACAAAATAAGAATAAAATAATAATAATGACTAAGAACCATAAACACTTAACCAAATTTAGTATGAGATAATCTTAGTGAGACGGATAGAAAAACAAAAGATGAAAGAATCTTAATGGACGTCGTGAATACATGTCTTTACTCTATAATCCTACAATAATGTATTCTCCCTCAAATATTTTTTTGAATGCATTTATCACGTTGATCAAGCTTTTGGAGTCCCAAATCTAAATTCAAAGTTGAAGCCCCAATCTATAGGAAAAGGTAGAAGATATTCCCAATCTAATAACTTATACTCAAATCAAATGCAAACTCATTAAAAGACCATTTAGCAACACTGTTTTTCGGCTTGTCAGTCAATTTTTTCACGAAACACATAACTTTTGCTTTCGCGCGCTGAATTGTAATAAGCAGAAAAAGTAAGATTGTAGTTACTTTCTGGCTTATTGACTGAAGTTACTGTAGATGACCTTTTTAGCTATTTTACATATAATTTTTTATCTGTTTTATTAATAAAATACATTTTAAAAATAATTTTTCTTAAATCAGCGGAATCAGTCAATGCAGCCACTTCAGCCAGAACTTCAAAAATTTCAGCAGAATCAGCCAAATTAGCCGGTTTTCGTGCTACCAAATGCGCTCTAAATGATACAACCAAAAGTTACTAAAAGTTACATAGTACAAAAAGTTACTAAAAGAACAACTAAAAATACTCAAGAAATTTGAATAAAAAGAGAATATTACCTGAAATAGGACTAAAAAGGTTTGAAATTCCAAAATAGGACTGTCATGTTTTTATTCCCAAAATAGGACTTTACTACCATGTTTTGGCAGTAACAGACTTCAAACATGACCGTATTTTCCAAACTTGGCAGTAATTACTCTTATTTTGGGAATAAAAAATATGACAATCATATTTTGAATTTCCAAACTATTTTAGTCCATTTCGAGAACTTTCCCGAATAAAAATGACTAAAAGGAACAACAAGTTAAAAATAATGAAACTACATTATTACTACGTATTCCTTAATCCGTGTATTTTACCAATCCATATTAATCATTTTATTTTATAAAAGAGACAACTTTAATTGATGGACCGTGTTCTCTAGAAGTTGTTTATCCTGTTCAAATCCGACCCACATCGATAATGTAAGGGTAGTCAATCGTCACTCATGACTTCATTCACGATTATACCACGGCAAGCTGTCAGTGCCGATACGAATTTCAGCACGACTTGGTGGGAGTATAATAATGCAAGATAGTATTGGAAAAGTTAAAGAATAATTCCTAAATACGGAGTAATACGGAGTAAAATTCTATGAAATTCATTCTCAAAATTAATTGAGAAAATGTGGAGTGATTTTATTATTTTATGAGAAAAGGGGCAAATAAGGTCGCGTATTAAGCAAAAAAGGTCAAATAAAGTCTTATTTAAGAGGATCTGTCCGGCCGTCGTCATTTGAGGTGGTTTCCGGTAGAATTTTTTAATGAAAGTTTTTGAGCATCTTATTCAGTAAGTCTAGTTTACTCATATCAAATTTTAGCAAAAACTTCAATCGGGAAGACATTCAAATGAATTCTTGAAGATAACTGCGCAGTTATCTTCAAGAATTCATTTGAATGCCTTCCCGATTGAATTGTTAGTTGTAATTTGGTATGAGTAAACTAGAGTTAATGAATAAGATGGTCAAAAAATTTCATTAAAAAATTCCACCTAGAACCACCCCAAATGGCGAAGGTCGGACAGAGTCTCATAAATAAGACCTTATTTGACCTTTTTTGGTTATTATGTGGCCTTATTTGCCTCTTTTCCCTTATTTTATTCACCTTCATTATTGAGACTATGTACACTGTCTACAAGCTTTTTTATATTCTTTCAAATTAGACTCAATTGCTCATCTTTTCTAAAATAATGCATTGGGTGTATCTACAAATACAAATACATTAATAAGAGAAGACGTGGATGACATATTGACATGACTACTGCGTATATATGTACATGAAGCATATACGGAGTATGTTGAAACGTACTAATGAGAAATGGTAAATTGACTCTCTTCAGTCTCTTGGTATCTTAAATTGACAATTGTTACGGAAAATTTTACTAGTACGGAGTATAAAATATGATCATTCAGGATGAGAGATAGAGTATGCATGTGATAAAATTGTACTCCGTATAAAAATAATAATGTGTTCATTTATTTGATATAATTTCCTACATCTTTGGCATGCAATTGATTAATGTACAAACATTATCCAAATGGTTCAAATGGATCACATCTCACACTTGAGATCTTATACTTAGATTCCGGTCATAATACCATTTGTAGTAGTTAAGAGTCCAAAATGTTAAATTTGGACTCCGTTCATATGAAAACAGTGTTTAGACTCCGTCAATACTGTTTTTCTCTGCATCTGTTTACCGTCAATAAAATACACTCTGCACATTTTTACAAATCAATTTAGTAAAACATTAATTAAATTATTATAAGTAATTTTTTACTTTTAATTTTTTCTCTGAATAATTATAAAATAAAAAATACACATTTTGATGTAAAAAAATTAAATTTATTATTTTTTACGTTTTTCGAAAGTTGGATCTCAACCTTTGGATCTTTCAAAAAGTTTTTTTTTAAAAAAAAAATCTGGCCATTTAGCATTAACTTAGTGCGCAATGACATCAACATGATGCAAGCCATGTTTCCTTTGCAGCGTACGAAGCCGCAGGTTGGCCGGTCCCCTATTTTCTTTCCTTTTTCATTTATTTTTGTTCTGTCAACTCCTCCCTCTATTTTTACACTCCTTCACTCCCCTTCCCACTTTTACTCCCTCTTTTAATCCTCCACTACACATAAATAAGAATCTAAAAATTCCAATTTTAATCTTTTGACTCCTAATCTTTCACCACTACAAATGGTCTAAGGAGGTTAAATTAAGGAGGTGAGTTCGAAAGGATTTTTTTCAATTGATGGTCCTCTAGTTTCCAAGGCAGACTTGGGTGGTCGCACAATCAGTATTTCATTGGGAACCTAGCAAAGTGTTCGAGGAACTGGAGTTTACTTCTATTAAGAGTTGGGTAGGCTTTGAGGCCCAAAATTTGTCCTGTGAAGCCGAGATCACCTGATGTTAACAGAAAAAACTAATGTCCTTTATTTAAAGGACAATTACTTTTCATCTTGCCACATTTATAAATTAAATGAATTCCATACATAGATATGTGGAGTTAAGGAGGTGAATTTGAACCGAACTTTTTTCAATTGATGACCATCTAGCCCCCGAGGCTAGCTTGAGTGTTACAAAATTAGTGCTTCATAGGAAATCTAGCAGCGTGTTTCACATTGCTTCTTCAGAGTGATGGATTTAAAGTCTTGTCCAAGGGTGTATAATCGATCTATGTTCTGTAGTCTTGTTGACTTGTCTCTAGGATTTAATCTCTGATCTTGATGTTACATGCTGAGATTCTGATATTGTAATATATAAGCCGTTTCTTAAAAAAAAAATTACTCCACAGAACATTGCTATGGGTACCCCAAGTATACCCCATTTCATACCCCATATAAAAATCATTCCAAAAATTTACCCCCTCTCCATCCCCTCACGGTTGCCCTTCACTCTCCCCCTCACCTCCCTTTCCAGATCTCCCCCCACCTTTTCCCTTCCCCGGCCAGTTCTGAAAAACTCCCCACTTCCCACCGTCACCGACCTCAACCCTTCCCCACTCGTCCGCTACAACCACCATCCTCACCCCCACGAATCAATCGACATCAAGGGCGAGGACCTCATCTCGAGCGAAGGGTTCACAAACCCAAGGAAAGAACCGCCATCTAGAACTCCTGTATTGCTCACCACCGTCCTCCTCAAGGTTTTAAGGTCCATGGTTCGTACAAGCTTAACAAAAATGGCAGAAAGGTACGAAATTTTTTCATTTTTTTGGATTGATATTATCTTGGTGTAATAGAGTTGTAATTTTGGTGTTGTTTGTCATTGTGTTTGTGAATACTTTGAACTTGTCTGTGCATGGTTGTTTTGGTTGTGTGTGACTTCGTTTTGAATTCTTGAAAGTACCTTTGCAATTGCGTGTGATGTCATTATAGTGGTCTGGCCACGCGTATGAGATGTCTGTCATTTGAAATGAGTTGTCTGGCAAACCATTTCTAGTTGTTTATCATGTGAACATAGTTGTCTGGCAAACCATTAAAATTGGTATGTAGTTGTCTGTTAGGTGAACATAGTTGTCTGGCAAACCATTAAAATTGTCTGGCACCTCATTTTGATATAGAATTGTTATGCATGTGATATGGAATTGCTTAAAATTGTTGTGTACTTCTCTGTCAAGTGAACATACTTGTCTGACAAACCATTAAAATTGACTGGCTTCTCATTTTGATATAGAATTGTTGTGCATGTAATATGGAATTGCTTAAAATTGTTGTGTGCTTGTCTGTCAAGTGATATAAAAATGTCTGTCATTCCTTCTGAGTTGTCTGAAATCTTTGATTTGAATTTGTGTTAATTATACAGGGCATTCAAACTACAAATTCGAGTTTGCAAGCACATTCGAGCACAGTATTCTGTGTGCTCATATTTCAAAAAGGTTGTAAGCTTGATGAAAGCTGCATTGATAAATAATCAATTGGAAGAGTTCAGGGTGTTCCCCAACAGTGTGGAGGGTATTAAATTAAACTTGATTTACATTTTTTTTTAATATTTTTTTTAAATAGAAGCATGTTTTTTTATTAATAACAGAGAAAACAGTACAATGCGACAAAGAGAAAACAAAGAAAAATGAAAAGCGGTACAAAAGGAAAACAGAGGAAACTAAAAAATAACTAATCCCAAGGATAGTCTCTGGATTGAGACCTTGTTCTCATACTATGCCGCCTTTTGTTCTTTTGAGTTTTTCTGTAAATTTTCAGCTGCGTGTTCAAATTTTCAGTTGGCAGGCAATTTTCTGTGGTTATGAAATTGGATTTGGACTTCCTAATTTCTTCTGGGTATGAAATAGGAGGACGACAATCACTTTCAGTAGCATGTCCCAAGAAGTCATCTGTAAAGATGGAGTCGTCCGAATGATCAAAATCGTCAGAGGCACATGAGTAAGCCCGGTTTGGTGGCAATTGGAGTTGTTTCCCAGCTGAGAAGACATGTTCATTATCGATACCTATCGCCTGGATTTGTTGATTCAAAATCAGTTTAGAGATGGAAGTGGGGTCCTCGGATTCTAACTTGCTCCTATGTTGAAGAAAGATTGAATCGTCCTGCACTGACTTAGAAAGCCCTACAAAATTAGTAAAAAATGTTAAGGAATTTTAGTAGGCTTGAGTTATTGCGTCCCATTGGTATTTGAATGCATCCCCCCTAGTGTTTAGCCATTTTCACATAATAGCCAGCTCTGTTAATTTCCACAGAAATCGTGATATCTCCAAATCGCTTTTTCCCCTCAAAATGGAACTGACCATGATTTCTGAGCTGAGTGATAAACCGAATGATTTGGGGAACTAGCTCAAGCACGATGTGAATCTTGTACATAAGAGACCTTGTAATTTCAAAGAGGACCAAATCTCTGTTTTTCACTGCGAATTGAAAAGATTTAGTTTCAATTTTTACAGAGTCAAACCCATATTCTCCAAAGAAGTAAAATTTTTCACAGCCTTCGGATAATTCAGTCGATACCTGGTTTACTTCTTTCGTGACCCTTTCCATAATACAACTTTGATTTTTTGTTCCAGAGGGGCCTGCCTGGTCAGTATCCGCATAGCCTAGAGGGATACTGTTTCTAATTGAAAAAATGTATTGATTTTTTGCCTTTGTCCGTAGGGTCCTTGAGTAGATCTGCCCATGTGAAGGATTGATGCATTCCAGGTGAAGTCCCTACGTCAACCACTTGCAAAACAGTGGACACCCCCCTTGCTGTAACTGGTGGAGCCCTCGGCTTAACGATTTCTCTGGTCGTGAGTTCCGGCGTCCCTTGATTATGAGTGCCGGCGATTGGCCGGATGTTGTCCTCCGGCGAAGAGGTTGCTGGTCTTCGGTTGGAGCCGCCGTTGTCATGGGTGTTCTCAACAGGGCTATTGCCGCCGTTTCCTGAATTTGAGAGACGGGCATTTGGGATTTTCCTCACATCCACGGATTCATCATCTCTAGATCTCCGATAATCGAGTATCCAATTCAATTGTTTCCGATGAAAAATCAATTAAATTGTGATATCGATTGGAGTTACCAGAAGCTCTGAATCTTTCTGGAATGGTGTGTCGGTGCGCATTGGAGAAGTGGTGAGGGCGGGCGGAGTGGCACCATTTCTTGTAGTTTACTACGCGCCAATCGTCTGCAGTTTCCACTGTGGTGAGGGTGTTGAAGGAGTGGAGATATGGGCAGGTCTCACTTCCCCGTACCAGGATGTGACTCTCTGCCTCTAAATCGTTCTTTGCCTTATTGGATTTGGAGTTGTTATTATACCTGGGTTTGTGAGAAGGAGCTGCTTAATTGGTTGTTTGTTCTCCTTGCTTACTGTGTTTGGGGTAGGATTCCTCAAACCAACGCCTGCGTGGTTGATGGTTGCAGCGGCAGCAACATGAATTAGGATAGCTGAAACCAAATCGTCTTGGCGCTTCCTCTTCATATCTTGTGATTCTGCCTATTGAGTATTGGGGCTGCGGAATTGGTGAGAAATCCTTGTCGCTAGAGCACAGTATAAATGACGTGCACTTTGTCGTGAGTGCACTCAAAATAAATTCAATACTAGCACTAATACGTAGTATAGCGTAGTAGAGTTCGTATCCACAGGGAAAGGAATAACTCTTCTTCTTATGTAACTAGTAAATAAGGGGGGGGGGGGGTTTGATCGAGTGATTTGATTAAAATTAAACACGAAGATGAACGAGTTATGTGGTTTAATTCAAAGATAAAAGGGACTTGGCATTGCTACTTTCCACTTGTTGATATATTTTAGTCGATCATTGTTATATCTATAACTTATCTCCTCTCGAATACTCAATCGAGGAGTATATCCAATTCATCGAGGATAGTTATTAACAACGACCGTTCATTAATAACTCTTACTATTAGTCAAGTATAGAACAACGCCATATACCGACTTGATAGTAGCATTTAATCTTTTAACTCCTTGATGAAATCAATTGAGATTGATAACCTCAACAGTCAACACAACGGTTTTGGTTTAACCAACAAAATTAATCCCTCTTAAGTTTATTAACCACGACCGTGCATTAATAAACCGAAGTTACTTACTTGTGAAACTATCAACGATTAACCATCGGTTCGTTGATCGTTTCTAGTAATAATTAATATATTAAACAAAACTAGTTGATCCTTTAAGTAATGTTCAAAATACCAATATGAAATATGAATAGGAATTAATTAATACTCAAGGAAGAATATTAAAGAAAATGTATCCTACTATAGTTAATATCAAGATGTTAACTAATTGTCATCTTAGTAACACTCCCCAATATTAACATAGAGGAAGAATAGCTATTACTAATACCAATGTCGAGATGTTAACTAATTGTCATCTTAGTAACACTCCCCAACATTGATATAGAAATATTATTTAAAGGAAGAATTAATATTCAAGGAAAGAAGTTAAGAAATAACTCACAACTTTAATAATCAACAAGCTTCAAGAGCAATACCAAGAAATGAAAGTTTAGCTCCTCATTTGGAGACTAAACATGCTAAAAGAAATATAGAGAAATGCTATTCTAAACTGAGCTTAAGAGTATAAAGGAATTGGTGATCTTATTGTGAAGGAAAAGAGGTGTATTTATAGGTGTTTGGAGGTAGCAGGGTGGTGTACCCGACCGGGTATATAGGGTACTCGATCGGGTATTTTAGGCAGTTTCCCGGAAAATCACTTTTCTAGACATACCCTATCGGGTATGAAGGCCTACCCGATCGGGTATGAGCCAAATCTTCAAAATCCTGCACGTTTTTTTGTCTCTCCAGATCTCTCCAGATTCTGATTTTGACACCCGAATCAACTCAATACCCGATCGGGTATTGCCTATACCCGACCGGGTATATGAAATACTTTTTCAATCTTCTTTTTATCTTGTCCCCTTGCACTTTCCTTGATCTTTTGGGGTCCAATCTTGATCCTTTGGATGATCTTGACCTGTTTTAAGCTCAGAATAATCCTAATCTAAACAAATTACATTTATATAGGAAAATAAACTAATTACACCAAAAGTGTGTAATTTTCCAAACAACAACAAATAAAACTAGTTAAAATAGAAATAATAAATAATAAAAATACAACTCTATCAACTCCCCCATGCTTAGTTTCTTTGCTCGTCCTCGAGTAAAGTCAATGTTTCATCAACACTTCACACAATCATGAACAAGCAAAAGACAACCAAGTAATGTTTAAAATGTGTTTTACAAAGTGAAATGATTCCACTTATGCACTACACACTTCATGATATTGGGTTTACTTGTCTTCTATGCTTTCCATGTTCCTCTTCATCATTGTATCACCACATCCCTGTAAAAATAATTTCTCTCATTTCTCTCATTTTGCCTAGGATTCTTTTTTTTCCTAACCTCTCATTTTTTTTTCTTTCTCTCCTACTCACTCATTTTTTCTTTTGCTTTTATTGCTTAGGTTGCCCATTTGGGTTTTCAACCTAACTAGCTTTTTTTATGTTTTTTTTTCTTTTGTTTTAAAAAAACAAGAATAAAGAGTATGAATGTGAGTATTCCATGAAACTCTCCCCCAAATAGTAAAAACACTGTCCCTAGTCTTCATCTTCAAGACGTCATAGAAAAGGAGAATTCGGACTTGGTGTAGGTGGAGTTAGGGGATTCAGATTTTGGATTATTTGGTGGGTTTTGTTGGTATATAAATGAAAAATGTGGGGAGGATAAGAAGAATATGAGTTTAGTTTGTTGATTTGGTGGATGTATGAAGAAGATATGAAAGTGTGAGGTTGTAACTATGGAGGGTTTGGGGTGTTGGGTTTGAATGGGGTGATACGATTTTTTTTTGAAAAGTGCAAAAATAAAATAAAATAAGTAAACATACCTTGCATGGGTTGCCTCCGAAGGTAGTGGCGAGGTGAGAGGCGAAGAAGCGCCTCGTTTAACGTCGCGGCACGACGCCATCATTGTGTTCAATCGTTCAAACTCGGATCGTGATAATTTATCTTCTTCACACTTTCACTCCTAGGACTTCCATAGGAATGATAAATTTCTCGACTCTTCACTTTGGAAATCTTTCCAGGATCAAATATCCAGATTTTCATTGATTCATGTGGTGGGAGGGAGGGGAAGAAATTATCGTTTAGCACGGTCAACGAGAAGTTTTTCGATCCCTCAGTTTTGAAGAAGATTTCAGAAATGTCATTGTCCTTTTCAATTTTATGAGTTTCTCTTAAAGCGTCCAGGGATGATGGAGATACCTCAAAGGATGACAATGACAAAAATTTGAATTTGAAGCTCGGCTTATCCTCTTCTTTGACCAGTTGGAGCTCCGTGTCTTTTTCTTCTTCTACTTCCTTTGGATTCTGGGTCTCCTTTTGCATTTCCTTTTCATTTGTCAATGTGATTGCAAAAGTTTGCTGTTCAGGATCACATTCTATTTGAGAAGGAAGTTTTTCTGAATCCCTTGCTTCAAGCCTACTCACGGCTCCGGCTATTTGACTCATCTGAGTTTCCAAGTTCAAAATGCTAGACTTGGTCTCATTTTGGAATTGCACCATGTTGTTTTGCATAGTGGTCATGTTGGTAGCAATAGCCCGGACCATATCCTCCGTAGACATGTTAGAGTTGGAGAACGGATTATACCTCATGTGAGGTACATCTCTTTCGTAACCAACATCATCAGTTTGTTCAAGGTATTCATCTTGGAGCTTTGGACAGAAATCTGTAAAATGCCTGTGAGACATGCAAATGTTGC